CATTTTCAACTAAGTGAAGCTAGGAACCCAAGCACCCCTACCCCCTGCTTGATCACAAGTCCAGCTCTGCTGGCTGTAGCTAGCTGGCCATTCATTCCTTTCCTCATCCTGAACCACAAGATGTGTCATCTTGCCTGCAAAACCAAGAAAGAGAAAGTACAAGTGTGGGCTTGATGAGGCACATGTACTCTATAGTTGTAGCTCTTTCTGAATAGAGATACTTTTTCAAAGAAATGGGGGGAGAAAGAAAGCTTTTACCACATTTTTAATGAATGGATGACCCAAAAAAGAGAAAGCTTTGCTCCATCTAAACAAAAACCTTTTAGTGCTTTCCTGTCAGTGATACCTTACTGGATTTTAGATAACAATTAGTTCCTCTTCCATATGGTTACACACACACACACACACACACACACACACACACTAGTGTGATTTCACTCCCACTTCTGAATTCCTCCCACACAGACCGAGTGGCATGCTAGAGTTGACTACAAACATAGGGAATTTGGCCTGAGAAAAGCCTGTCAGATTGGGGGATTTTAACAGCTGCTGTGCAACCATGTTTTGATACATTTTAAAATGATCTTAGCAATTCTAAAACGAGCAGGACTCTTATTTTTTTTTTTGACCTCATGCAACGTACTAGGAAACAGAACAGATGAAATGGAGCTTCTAATTTGTGTTCAAGAAATATTATTTGAATAGACAAACTATGCCAGTGTCCTGTCCTCTCTTCTCTCCTTTCCTCTTCTCTTGCCTCTATTAGCAATGTGATCACAGTCACTTCTACTGAGCATTTATATCACCCCCGCACTTTGCCATCCACAGAGCCTGGGGAGCAATGGGAGCAGGTTTCAAGGTCTTAGCTTGCAGCCACAATGGCCTCTTGTGCTCTCCCTCAAGTGGATGAATGAATGTGGGTCAGGAAATGGTCTCTATCACTGCTGAGGGCTCCTACTGATGCTCAACAATCTGGGTCTAGCCACCCCCCCCCACGCCCCTTATTCTGCAGTGAGAGGACCCTCTGCAATCTAGCCACAAGACCTACTCCTGATGAACATAAAATGTCTGGAGTAAGCCGGGCACCAGTGGCTTGTGCCTGTAACCCTAGCTACTCAGGAAGCTGAGATCTAAGGATCGCAGTTCTAAGCCAGCCCGGGCAGGGAAATCTGTGAGACTCTTAACTCCAATTAACCACTAGAAAACTGGACGTGGTGCTGTGGCTCAAGTGGTAGAGCACTAGCCTTCAGCTGAATTGCTGAGGGACAGCGCCCAGGCCCAAAGTTCAAGCCCCATGACCGACCCAAAAAAAAAATGTCTGGAGTATATCAATCTGCTCTCCTGAGCCTGGTGCTAGTGACTCAGCTCTGTAATCCTAGCTACTCAGTTATCTAAGAGCTGAGGAACATAGTTCAAAGTTAGCCTAGGCCGGAAAGTCTGTGAGACTCTTACATCCAATTAACAACCCAAAAGCCAGAAGTGTGGTAGAGCGCTAGACTTGAGCACAAAAAGTCAATGAGTATGCATAGGCTCTGAGTTCAAGCCCCAGGACCAGGGGGAAAGGAAAGGGAAAGGGAAAGGAAAAGGGAAAAGGAAAGGGAGGGAGGGAAACAGGGAAGGAAGGAAGGAAGGAAGGAAGGAAGGAAGGAAGGAAGGAAGGAAGGAAGGAAGGAAGGAAGGAAGGAAGGAAGGAAGGAAGAAAGGGGGAGGGGAAGGGGAAGGGAAAGGAGAAGGGGAAGGGGAAGGAGAAAGGGAAAAAAGAAATTTTCTCTCCCAATGGTTATAGCAACCCTAGTCCAATCACTCATCCTAACCCTCACTTGTAAATTTTCTGATGATAGCAATGATGTCGAGGATAACATCAGCTACCAAGTATGGAACATCCATTCTGTGATGACTGCTAATGGGAAATACAACATTGTGGGTTTAGAAAGTCTGTTCATCAAGGATCAGTCAAAACAGCCAGGGGTATGGGGTCAGACCAAACCAGATTCCTACTTTACCACTAAACATCTTGGTGACCTTGATGACATCCTTGAACCAATTTGGACTTTATGCTTTTCTGATAAGTGTGGACCCTTTTTCCCCTCTGCCTTCCTCCAAACAAACAGTACAAGTTTACAGCAGGGGGAGGGGGAAAACAAGATCACAAAATGAAAGTTTCTCATAAACCAGGGTGTACTTTCCACAAAAGAATCTGGTCCAAGGTCACACAGCTGGCTCACAGCTGGACTAGAACTAATTCCCAGGTGTCTGAACTCCCAAACCAGCCAGTCAGAGCTGCTGTTGCCTGCAGATCAGCAGAGCAAGAGCCTCCCAGCTGGCATGGAGGCAGAAGGCAGAAGCTCTCGTGCCCTGAGGCCAGCGTCTCACCCCTGTGAATCACTGCCCATGCGGCTGCCTTGCAGTGACATTTTTCACATCCCTCCCCTCCCCATGTGCAGCCACAGCTCACACACGAATGCACACCTCAGCTGTTTCCTAAAGATTATCAGGACACACACAACTGATCCTGCAAGCGGGGATCTGTCACCATCCTGAGAAATTCTCACTGCCTTGGGCTATCACGATTTTCTAAGATGACTATTTCTGGAAATAGGAAGAAATGAATAGAAGAAAAACATGCCCTTGAGGTAGCAACTGTGTTTCTCTAGGAAATCTTATTTCCTTTTTGCAAATACTGAAAAAGGCAGTTCAGTCTGGACTTTCTCAAACGTGGTTCTGTTTTCATTAGACTAGATGGCACTGTGGTACCAGCCTGATGGTGCCCACGAAAATCCTCTTTTATTACAAATAATTTTGCTTCAATTTCACACGATCCAAGAGGCTTTGAGGAGTACTGGTTACTTTACACAGGATATCTGAAGGAATTTGTAAGAGGGATACCAAACAGCTAATGGAGATGACATGAATACTGAGTTTATAGATAGCACATCCTAACTTACATGTTCAAAACAAAAAATCGGTAAAGGCACAAGTGCCCTAGAGAAATCCAGGAGAGGCTGTGGCTTTCTTACTAGTCAACACCTTATGTATACTTCTCTGGCATTATTGTGGCTATGGAATTCTATTTTTTTCCCCTAAAGAGTAGGGTTTTTTTTTTGTATCTCCAACCTTCAGCACACCTACAAAAACTCTTTCAGAATGAGATTATTTTCAGTACTGTCCAATGGTCTGAAACAATCAGCACAATCTTATTGGCACAATGACTTACACAATTCTTGCTAAGAATTGAAGAGGTCACCTTCCTGCGGCCAAGGTTCTCTTGGGACAGGAAAACAAATCTGTTAGTCAAGAAAGGAAATGAAAGTTCACTAGATTCTACTAGAATTCAAGCATTTGAGAAAGGCCATAGTCATCTGAGGGAAGAGCAATATGGGTGAAACAAGAGGAGTGGAAGCAGGGGTTGGGAATGTGGCTTAGTGGTAGAGTGCTTGCCTAGCATGCATGAAGCCTGGGTTCGATTCCTCAGTACCACTTACACAGAAAAAGTTGAAGAGTCGGAAGTGGCACTGTGGCTCAAGTGGTAGAGTGGTAGCCTTGAGCAAAAGAAGCTCAGGGACAGTGCCCAGGACCTGAGTTCAAGCCCCAGGACTGGCAAAAAAAAAAAAAAAGAAAGGAGGGGAAGTGATCAGACAGTCAAAGGACTCCATTAGCTGCTGCTACACAGAAGAAACCTCAGTGTCAGTTGATGGAAAGCACTGCCTCAGACAGGGCTCTGAGTGTCCCTCATGGGGGAAGACCAGAGGGGCAGCAGCAGCTTAAGGGCCCCCTGAGTCACCCAAATGGAGAGGAAGGAGCCATGGCCACATCATTATATATGCAGATGACCCAGATCAAAGACTGTTGATGACAAAATATACCTTGTCTATTTCCGAGATTGCACCGGCCCGTGTGTTTGAGGCACACCCATCAAAGAGGAGCCCTAAACTGCAGCAACTTCACTCCCCTTGACAGCATAGCCCATGACCTCCAGAAGCTGGATACTGCAGCTAGAAAAGAACAAATGCTCTACTTCTGGCTACAGACTGACTATTCATAAATCAGCTTTGCCTATATCAGTCTCACACTCTTCGAAACAAGGCTGCCTGTGCCTTGTTTCTGGTATATTACAAGGTGCATCTCATTATGTGTGATCTTCACACTGGGTCTTGGAAAGCCTCTCAGCCAAGGGCTGCTGTGGTAGCAAAGCACTGCAGATGTCTTGCTTGCAGCCAACAGTGAGGGGCACAAGGCTGAGTAGCGGGAGCTCTCCCAGGGTACCCACAAACAACAACAGAGTCCTGAGTCACACCAGGCATGGGGGCCAGGAGTAGATAAAAGTGAAGCTGGAAGTAAGAACATCAAAGGTGAGAAAGAGCTAGAAGAAAAGTAAGTGAGGGAAATCGCGAAGGAAAGAAAATGAGCCATCAGAAGCAGCCAATGTTTGGAACACACACAAAAAAAGGGAGCAAATGTTCTTGCTTGGAAAAAAAGGGAAGAAAGAAGAAGAAAGAGGATGTAGGCTGGGAAAGGAAGGAGAGAGGGAAAGAGACGTCAAAACCAGGGTGCAGAGGAGAGAAGAAAAAGATGCAGAGACAATGCATGCACAGTACAAGTTGTTTGTTTTTGTTTTTGTTTTTAGGAGTCTCCATGCTCATCAGCGAGCTGTTTCTCGTCCTGACTACGACACAGGGGCACCTATTCTGATCGCATTCTCCACCATCAAGCAAGGCCAAGGTTGGGACTGACAGATGGGACGTCCCAGACGGGGTGTCCCAGATGGAGGCTGAAAGGCTTCCTAAGGCCCAGACAGCACGGCCGAGATGGGCGCTAGAGTGCTTAGCACCTGCCCAACAGACACACAACAGCCAGGGCACCAAGGTGTGTCCTGGATCCCAACCAGGTGCCAGTAGCACCTTCCCACCATCAGTCAGCCCAGCCTTCTCCTCCCCCCTCCCCCCTCCCCCCACCGTTGGTCCTGACACTTAGAAGATAGGCTCAAATGCAGCAGCAAACACTCACCTGGATGGTCTGAGCCTGGCATCGCGCTTGCCATCCACCACGGCGGGCACACAGCTGGTCAGCTCGGTCCAGTCGGCATGCAGCCCGCAGCTCCAGCCCGTGGAGAACCTGGAGAAGAGCCAGGTCTCCCGCTTACCCGGCCGGTGGCAAGTGCATTTCTTCTGCCCTACTCGGCACTCACAAGGCTGCTCTAGCTGGATGTTGCGGACCAGGTGGCGGCCAAAAGTGGTGCCCCCCGTTTTCTGAATGTGCAGGAACACGATCAGGTCATCGCCCTTGATGTCGAAGTCTACCTTGCGCAAGAGATCGCCGCGGCTGAAATTGTAACGGGGCACGAACCTGGCGGAACTCTCATCTTCCGAACGGTAAGGGTCCGGTACCGGGGAGCTGAATGCCTGCAGGCGGAGAAGCTGACATTCTGTGCCGGGGCACACGTATTGCAGGACGATCACAGCAAATAGGAAGAGCATCACCAAAGCCAGCAGTAGCTTGTTGGATTTCTCATCCATGTTCCCTACGCTGGGGGAAACCCAAGCTCGTTACGTCAATCCCCCGCAGCTCAGCCCGCGCTCACCATGCGTCCCGCACCGCCCCCGCCCCTTGGCGCCTCCGTGCAGCCCCGTCGTCCCCCCCCCCCCCCCTCCGCACCGAGTACTCCACGGCAGAGGCGGCGGCGCCCTTCTCGCTTTCTTCCCAGCAGGCTCAGCGCTGTGGCTTCTGCCGCACACACACACCCCCTCACCCCACTCCTCTCTGGCCACCGGCCCCCTCCCCCGCCCAAGCTCTTCACACACACACCCCTCCCCAGAGTCATTCCCGCAGGACCTGCTGTGGTCCCCATCACTTGACTCCCCAACTTACACCCCCGCCTCCGTGCCAGACCCCAAGCTTGTAGATCTCCCCACTGGGGTTCCCATTCCGACTCCGCTTTCCCAAGTGGACTTTACACACACACACACACACACACACACACACACACACCGCTCTTGTGACCCCAACCCCCCTTTGGCGCGCACACGGCTGTCTGCCTGATTGGTAGGACTCTGTCCCCAAGCGTCCCAAAGCCCAGATTACCCCACGCGCGCCTGCTTACCCACCCCAGTGGCTGCCTCTCCTGAGCTGAGAGCCTGAGGTTCGTAGTTCCCTTGAAGGACGGAGCTCAACCCGCAGCCAGACTAGCAAGCCGGGACGCTGGATTGCCCTTGCCGGCTGAACAGTGCGGCTAGAGCTGCAGCGTGCTCAATCGCGCGCCGCCGGGCTGATCCGGAGCCCCCCAAACACCCAACCAGAATCGGCTAAGTGGAACTTTGAGCCCTTCCTTCCCCTCGCCCCTGCTTTTGCACCCCTTCCATAAGTGCCTTTCCGCCCCCCTACGGCTGCCGGCGTGGCTCCCGATCGAAAGAGCGCGAGCCCCGCTAGTGCCTACAACGTACCTGGCCAGGGGGCCGAAAATCTTGGAGAAAATCGCGCTGAGCACGTGCTTGAGTGAGTGGCCCAGGGCGGCCAGGCCCCGAGTGAGCAGGGCCCGGCAGAGGGAGCCCAGGTCCCAGCGTCGCCTGAAGTCGTGCATCCGCCTGCGGCGGCCTCGGGGCAACAGTGCGAAGAGCGGGGCGCGCACAGCTCCAGCCAGGGAGGAACACGCCTTGAGGGACTCGTCCTGGAGCGGCTGGGAGTTGAATCTGTGAGACACACCCCTAGGAGGGCCCGCTCGGACTGAGGCAGCCACCGATCCGGACAGGCTTGCTGCCAATTCAGCCGCTGCTCTGGAATGCCGGCGGGGACAGGTGGTGCGAGCCGGCGCTCCTTGCTCCGGTTGCAGCGGCGGCGGCGGCGGCGGCGGCCCGAGCGCCCGGGCTGCACACGCAGGCAGTGCCATTCCCCCCTTCAGGCAACTCAGGGTACTAAGGATCAGGAGCGAGCTTGAATTTATATAATAATGCCTCACGCCCAACAGCTCTGTGCCTTGGTTTTCTCCTGTCTTAAGAGAACGGAGGCCACTCCACAGCGCACATCGCCTCCACTTGGACTCGTAATTTCAACTCCCCTAAAATAGCAAAGGCGCAAATAGGAGCCTCTCCCTCCCTCTTTGCCAATTTCCATTCGGCAACGGAAGCAGGGGCATTTTCTCCTAAGGTAAGTCAGCATGAAAAGAAAGCATGACCAAATACACACACGGACGCCTGCGTGCGCGTGCGCGCACACACACACACACACACACACACACACGGGAAAGAAAATCTGAGCCTTTTCAAAGACCCACTCTTAATGACTGTCTTGTTGCTGAGGGTTGATTGACCAAATGGATAAAGAACAGCACCATGAGACCATCTAGGACAAGGCGATAGGATCCCTGAAGAAACTGAGGCTCAGACAGAACTGGGGATGTGCCCAAAGTCACACAGCACAACCTCAGGGTTGACACAAACAGGCACTGACCACCCATTTCTTGATGATAACACTACAATCCTCTCATAAGCACGATGGTCCACAAGATCTTTTGTCCCAAACACTCTTTCCTTACTGCACAAGCAACCAAGTAGGGACAAGGATCTAGAGAATACAGAGGCTCAGACTGTCCCCGTCTTATTTATTAATCACAGTCATTTGTGATTCCGTGACTAAGTATGCACTCCTGGCCAGCTCCACTGCCACATATATGGCATAGGGTTGCAGCGCTGTTGCTGTGCTACTGGAGCCAGAACCACTGGGAAGACACATTGTAAACTGACTCCTGTGGTGAAGGCATTTTACTCCAGAAACAAGGGTCCTGTGTCTGCCCTAGCCTTTTCCTGTTCTCTCAAAACTGTAAAGCAGCAAGCCAAGCACTGGTCAGAAACCTTGTGAAATCTCTCAGTCCTTACTGGAAAGTCCTGAAATGACTCATCCCTCCTGGGCCTCAGTTTCTTTTTCTGTAAAATAAGACTGATTGAGCCAGGTGCTAATAGCTCACGCTCCTCCAGAGGCTAAAATCTGAGGATTGCAGTTCAAAGCCAGCCCTGAGCAGAAAAGTCTTGGTGAGACTTATCTCCAGTGAACCACTCAAAACAACAACAACCAAGGAAGTGGCAAAGTGGGCTGTGGCTCAAAGTGATGGGGCACTAGCCTTGAGCAAAAGAGCTCAGGAACAGCCTCCATGCCCTGAGTTCAAGCCTCCTCAGGACCAAAAACAAAGAAATGAATAATTAAAAGACTGATAATGTCCCCCATTTTAATCAAGTAGGTTACTGTGAAGATGAAATGTAGAAAGCTCTAGAAAACACCAAACCATGAGGTTCTTTTTGTGTAAGGCTGCACACTAAGCTAAGTACCAGGATCACTAAGGAAGGGATTTTCAACAGGTTTTTGACAGGTGTGCCCTGTTCTTACTGATTTTCATAAGCCTCGGCCCTGGATGGACTCCATGAGTCCCCAAATTTACTGAAGCCGCTGGGAGACTTTGTGTTTAGCTACAGGCAGAAACACCATAAGCTTTAGTTAGATGCCAATTTGGGCAGAAAAGTTCACAAGATCCCCTTCACGGAAAGATGGCTGCCATGCTACACATCTATCATCCTGCCTATATGAAAGGTGGAGAATGATGATGGTTTCAAGCCATCTAGAGCAAGAAAGTCCTCAAGACTCCATCTGGACAGAAGAGGTTGAGCAACATAGCTCGTGCCTGTCATCTCAGCTAAGACAGGAAGCCAAAAATAGGCTCACAGCCCAGGCAAGAAGTAAGAATAGCTCAAAAATAGCCAATGTTAGAGGCCTGGCTCTGTGGTAGAGCATCTCCCTAGCAAGCTCAAGGCTGTGAGTTCAAATCTCAATGCTACCTCCTCAAAGGAAAAAAGAAAAAAATCGTAAGCTTCCTAGGGATAGTACATGCCAATCATTTCATGCCTCTTGCTTGTTGAGCTGCAGCCTAGCTGTGCATGGAGACCTCAGCTTCCCTATGAGTTCTTCTGGAATCTCAGACTCTTCTTCCACTGAAGGCAGGTGAGGATGTAAGTCAAAGCAGGAGGAAGCTGCCTCTTCCTCTCCTTGGCCACCCACACAGCCAAACTATTTAGCTTGCACAGTAGGTGGTTCTCCTAATGGTGCCATATAATGGTCCCCCTGCTATTAGATCACCATTATAATGGCATTTGGTAGGTGCCTAGAAAAGGCTTCTGAAACTGGCCGTTCACATAATTCAAGCCCTCAACCATTAACTGTGGAAAGATGTGGGGAAGATGGGAAGGGGGAGTGGGGGGCTACAGCAAGAGGAAATGCAATAGGTAGAAGGGAGGGAGAGGGGGAGAGCAGTAGTAAGACTTATTCCTTTCACTTGTGAAAAGGAGCATTGCACTGGCATGCAAAGGACCAAAGGAAGGCTCAGTCAGGTCAAGAGTTGCAGAGCAAAAAATAAATAAATAAATAAAAGAACAAGGTGATGCTTTTAAACTCAGTTTCTCAGATGGAATAGGTTATTCAAACTCCAGGGTGAATACATACAAGAGCATGGTGAGAATATTTGCTCAAAAGCTTTTCCTACCTGGGTGCTGGTGGCTTACACCTGGAATCGCAGCGGCTCAGTGGTAGAGTGCTTGCCTTGTATGCATGAGGCCCTGGGTTCGATTCCTCAGCACCACAGAAGCAAAAAATGCCGGAAGTGGCACTGTGCCTCAAGAGCTAGAGTGCTAGCCTTGAACTGAAGAGCTAAGGGACAGCACCCAGCCCCAGAGTTCAGGCCCCACGAAAGAAAGAAAGAAAGGAAGGAAGGAAAGAAAGAAACATTTCTTCGGGAATGAGGCTCCCTGCTAAGAAGTAGGAAATTCATCCTTTCAATGGCTTTGTCCCAAAAGCTATGTTCTCCTGACACCAGACCCCCTGACTTGGGAAGATGGGAGGGAGGGGTCTGGCAATTTGGGGCTGCCCTCCCCCTTCCTATTGCTCCCAGCTGGTTTCACTTAGAAACTGAATAACAAAGGCCTCAATCCTCCCGAATGGGGCTTTACCGGGAGAGATTAAGGATGGGAGGCCAAAAGGTAGCAAACAAGCTGAATTGCCCTCTCCTTGATTTTTCCATCTCCTGTTTCTTCCACCTGCCTGAGATGTGCCATACTTTGAGGATTCAGTACTTGGGAGCAAAGGAAGATTCTGCAGTCTGAGCTTTGAGTTTGATTCTTGTCCCAGAACTGTCCTCCCATGGTTTCCAACAAAACGTTGATGATTCTGAGAGCATAAGGTCAGCCTGGCTTGCATGCTAAGCAGCGCACTTCTAGACATGAATTGGATTGCTCAGAGAGATAGCTTGCAAAAGCATGGGGCCTGGGAATCCAGCGACCCGAGCTCCTTGCCTTGACACTGATGTGAGGGAGACACTGCACCCACTCTAGCCACCTACCCACTCTAGCTTTTGGGATCTGCTTTCTGAGGTGTGACAGCAGGTTTGATGAGATAGTACATAGAATAGTTTCCTGATCTGACATCCCAAAGGCCAAGGTGTTGCCCGTTTTGGGGGTCTCATCCTGGAGAGAAAGCCTTAGGCTGTGTCCTCCATTCCTTCCATGACCCCCTGACCTCACTGGATCCCATCAAGCAAAGCAGCCACTAGAATTGTTCCAAGCCTCAAAGGGAAGCACAGAGAGACAAATGGCGCATGTTCTTACTCACATGTGGAAGCCAGATCTAAAATTCACCAGGGGCTAGGAATATGGCTTAGTGGTAAGAGTGCTTGCCTAGCATGCATGAAGCCCCTAGTTCGAATCCTCAGTACCACATACACAGAAAAAATCCAGAAGTGGTACTGTGGCTCAAGTGGTAGAGTGCTAGCTTTAAGCAAAGGAAGCTCAGGGACAGTGCCGAAGCCCTGAGTTCAAGCCCCAGGACTGACAAAACAAAACACGAGAATATGCTAAATTACACAGGACTTATACAGGACTCTAGGTATTCACACAGGCTACCTTAGGAAAGGAACAGAAAGGCACAGTGCCTGTGTGCATCTGATCATACAAAATAATATTTATCAAAATGCACTCCAAGAAATGGAAATGTTTTTTTTCTTTGTCATTTTTTTTTATTTTTGTCTTGTTTGTTCATTTATCTGTCTTTGGAGGGTAAGAGGGAGCAGAGAAATGGAGGGACAAAGGACAAACAAATGCAACAGTGGTACTCACTAGACACAATGTTGAAAATGAACTATACAACCTGGGGGTGGGGATAAAAGGGAAAAACTGGGAGAGAGCAAGGGAAGGGGTGACAGTATTCAAAAAGAAATGTACTCTTTACCTGACTTAGGAAAGTGCAACCCATCTGTATATCACCTCTACAATAACAATTTAAAATTTTAATAATAAAAAAGAACTGTTCCAAGCCTATATTACAAGGCTGACAACAGAATCCCCTGACCAACTTCAAGCAGAAATAATGGAAACAATATTGAAGAAAGTATGATACTTTATATAGGGCATAGAACACAAATCTGCTTCTCCTCAATCTAAGCAGTCTCAATCTAAGACAGTCTTCCTGTCTTGAATTTTTTTAATGTTCCTATTCTCAATAATAAGGTGTTTTTTTTTTTTGGTCACAAAGATTGAAAGCATGCAAATTATTAAGCCAATTCACTTCTGGTTTTATGTGCACCTCCAAAGAGAATGACTAGCAGTATTTGATGAAACACTGCACCAAAATGTAAGCTTTAATATTACAAACAAGTTGCAGGTGGTATTCACATCATTCTCAATAGTCACCTATCCCCTCAAAAAAAAAAAAAAAAAGTACTGACTTTATCTAGCTTTACAAAATCTGAGGCTTGAGGAAATCAAAGAGGAAGGTAATACTGGGGTAATACTGGGGTATTGTGTATACGATAAGAATATGGTGTGAAGGTTAAAAAAAAAAAAGTGAGCCAGACGC